ATTGACAGTATTATGGCATCTTACTACTGGCATTAATGGCTTTATGGATAAGTAATTTTTATGTATTTGCATATAGCATGTCGATATCTCTGGATAAAACGAGCGGCTGCCCAGCTATTCCTAGAATTGATAAGATGATTTACTCCTCCTGGGCATAGAGTATTAAACAATAAACCGCACGGATTCTCAGTATGTGAAGTTTTGAAATATTTTTTTCGTTTACTTTGCAAAATGTGTTATTCATTAAGGAGAGCATTTTTTGCCACACTGAAAAACAAACATAGCATTTTATCGATAAGGATCCACGGTAAGTGACAGAAAGAATAACACACCCTCCTAAAAGTTACGTAATGATTTATTTGACTTGGTGTGAAGTTTAAAGAGTTGAATAAGCAAATTTGAAATCATGATCAAGAAAAAAAGAATTGTCGATTGTTTGTTCTTATATCATAAGGCTTAGCTCAACTAATCAACACAAAGTTGTATAAGTCTAACTGTCCATCCTATTATACCAAATTATTCCTTAATTACTCACAGTTCATAACAGAAAATATTTCAAATGTTGGTATGTTGGTCGCCCGCAAGACGCTTGGGACATAGCATTTGTTCTAGAGCGCATAATAAGGAGTTATTTTTTTCATCGCTGGTTAGAATAACACTGAATAATCAGGACGTAAAAATCAAGATTTCGATCTAGTATAAATCGTGGTTTATAGTCGCAGTAGGTGCTAGCACAAAATATCTCTCAATGCTATAAGGCTGAGAATACGTCTAATATCATGTACTTGAAAGTGGTTGCACCCTAATACCGTGACATCACTAATTTTCGTGGTTTTCAAGGTTTGCAGAGACTCAGGAATTTATGTCCACCACGAAATGCAATTTATCACATATATTACTACTGAACAATTCTTCAACCACGAAATCAAATCCCCATGAACCAAAATATTTTCCTCAAACCACAAAAATTTGACCCCTCAAATATATGCGATTTTACAGAATGGGTGAAAAATCTCTAAGGGACGTTGACCAAACAATTAAAGAATACATATATATTTCTTAATCAGAACATTTAATTAATTTATCAGTGTCATTTGCACAAAAATATTATTCTTAAACAAAGGAGAGAATAATATGCAAAATGTAATGCTTAATAGGGAACTTTATAGTAAAATGCAAAATGATGTCATTTTTAGGAAAAATATGTCTTTATTATGTTAGTAAGACATTTTTTACCACTTGCAAGTTATAAATAAATTAAATACATATGTAATTATAAAATATGCTGTGTATTTTTTGAATACTTGATTATCCTTAAATTGCTAGAAAATTTATACTTCTTTCTTTACCTAAGTTTGACCAATCTGAAGAATGGAGATAAAAATTTAGGACACTATTTCTGATTACAGATCATCTAATGAAATGATACAGATGCCAAGCATTCTACAGAGAGAGGTTTATTTTGGTTGAATTCTGCATTGTGACCGATCCGTATCTATTATCAACAAACTCTCACTTCCATCTGTTATTTACAGTGAATATGAGTGTTTTCTAATAGCAAATAAATGTACGAATCATGCTTGATGAAAAACGAAAAACAAATCATCCCCTATTAAAGGGGTCGTCCATCTGTTTTCTAGCCAGTAAAACATGTACAAACAGAGGTCAGGGTGCGGAAATCTTATTTTTTACAAATGCATGACAAAGGGAAGAAAAAGGTCAATGTTGCACAGAACGCGAGAAAAAAAAAAGAACAGAAAATCAACGCAAAAGCGTTCTTTTCTTGTGATCGGGATTATCAATTAAGAATATTTTATCAAATTCCAAAGAAATTATATGTATGCTTTACCTTTGAGACTCACAAGTTTATCTTCGAAACATATCGTGTTATTTTTGCTTTTTAAAGAATTACATTAAACATGCATGCCATTTTATATTATGGAATATTTCCACCCTCAAACTTTTAAATAAATTATGATTAATACTGCATGCCAAATAATAACATGTATGTTATCATGCAAGAAAGCAATCTTTTATCCAGAAACTGATTTTCATTTGAATTGGGTAAATTTACTTAAAATACATTGCCAGCGTGGCGCAGTGGTTGGAAGATGTAATAAAAAAGAGGTCTGCTCTAGATTCGCGAAAATACGTTGCTGGTTTAAATCGAACTGTGGGACGCGGAGACCGGTCCTTTGGACAAGACCAGATAAATCGAAGTCCCGTGTAGCAGTACAGTGTACATGTAGGTTTTGGCATGAAAAAAAAGATCCAAAACTGTTGAATGGCACTAAGTGCCTCGTATAGGGCAACGCCGATCCCCACCGGAAAATGGTGACGATTCATTTGAGTGAAAAATTCCCTGGCATTAAGCAACAAACAATTCCCTTGCATTAAGCAAAAAACAAACAAATAAAAAACACAATGAATTTTGATAGATTTTCAAGATCGCCCTTTGACAATCTTCAGTCATCAAATTATCAAGTAAATGTGCTTATAAAAAATGAAAAAATTGAACCATCAATTTTAATTGTGACTTTATACATGTACAATCCTTTAAATCAGACCTAAAATAACTACTTTTATAAAAATGACGTCAAGCCGTCTGTTTAGCAGTACTCAAAACAAGTGAATAAAATTGTGTGTTGTTATTACATGTAGTTGATAAAAATAAGGACATTTCACATTTACCGTATCACAAAAGTAGAAGCATAAAATGATGCTTTGTAAGTGTTCGTCTTAGAATCGCGTGAGTATGGAACATGTATCTATCTAACTATTACGTAACTTCAATGTCTTTCACTTGGCTCGAGTATAAACATTGCTTCATTTACACAGCTAATTTCAGATTTACATAAGTTGATGGCCTCGGCAAGTTTGATCATAACAAATGCCATGACGAGGGTCTCTTGTAGATCTTAGGGCAAGTTACTAGCGTAACAAATGATGTTTAAAATTTGTGTAACATTGTGATCAGTAGTTTAATTTTCTTTTTTGCTATAGACGAAATGTGGCGATCACGAACAGTATTCAAGCTGAAAATCGATTTACATATAAATGATACGAATCGGGAGCGATGCAAATATTGACGTCCATAATATCAAAGACTGAATTAATTAAATATCGTAGAGAAGAAAAATTTCCTATCAAACGGTAACAACTGTTTTGTACATCTTGTTATAATCAGGTAGGCGGCGAAATCTTTGACAATTTCTATGTGCGAATAATGGCTTCACAAATTAAATTTGACGTCCATTAGTATTTCAAAGATTTACAGATTGTGTACTTATGAGGTCATTTATCCACAAGATAACATGAGAAATAATATTTGTTCATTATGTCATGTTCTAAATTTTGAATTTACCGGGTGGGAGTAAATACAAAATTTAGAAGTCATGTTCTAAATTTTGTATTTACTCCCACCCGGTAAATTCAAAATTTAGAACATGACAATTACCATTTTTTCTTCAAGATGGTAAAGCATCATTCTATGAATTTTAAATTATCTGGTTGGCGGTTAAACAAAAGTTAGAAATTGTCATATGCATACGTTACATATGTTCCATATATTTTTTTCATCATTTCATAACCACGTACCGCTTGTACATATAAAATAGAGGTACCATCATCCCTTTTTAAAGAAAAAAAAATCGTCACCTGTGAATTGTTAAATTGATTAATAACTGTCACTGATGATTACAGGTCACGAAATAAACTGTGACAAATGAGCTAACTTTCGTTTTTTTCTCTTGAAATCTTTTATTCTCTTGTGTAAAAGATGTCTTCAAGCATATGTCTTAAAGAGAGCTTCATTCTGTATCAACCACCATCCTTAAATGGAATCGCAGATTGGTGTTCACGCAAATTAGATGACAGCAACATAAAAATTATTAAAAAGGTGCAATATGCAGGGGAATATTCTTTTAGAACATCAATTCCACCTGTTAGCCAAATAAACATTTGTCTTACATTACAAATATGAAAAGACAAGTTCATCCTGGGAATCAACACTGAAGAAAAAACAAAATAAAACTCAAAAACAAACAAACAAAAAAAGCCATTCGCTACCCGTGGTCACTGAAAAAGACTTGAAGAGTTATGAAGAAAACGAGGTTTCAAATGACTTACAGTTTAAAGAATATCATGGAAAACAGTTTTTACAAGTCTCGGAAAAGCAGAGACTGGAATGAGATTATATCATGAAAGAGAAACGGTCATAGAGTACTGTCAATCAAATCTAATCTTATTAATTAATGACATGCTGACTTTATCGATATGAAAAACGTGTGACTACTAGTACACCATCAGCATATACTTTCGGTAATTATGATGGTAGAACAATGATAATTTGGAACTGAAAATTCGGGATTTTCAGAAAAAAATTATCAAATGATATATTCAACAATATTTTTTATAGCTTTTCTGTATTCGATGTTGAAATTCATGGGGATACGACTTCATACGCAGTGGGGAATTGCATTGAATTTAAACGTACAGATTTAATTTGAATCACTTTCCCACGTAGTTGTTTTTCTTTTGATCAATACGGTAGTTCTACTAAATGCATTCATTCTAACAACATTGATTTCTTGTTTATATTTTTATCAGAAGCCTAAATTGAATTTTGTCTGTACAGATACTAGTATACAACTGTATACTTGTGTGCTATTTGAAAATATTAGATAAATCCTTAGATTTTCAAATTAATTGCAATTAAAAGCTAAGTTGTTGTATATGTTGTTTATTTCCTGGGTTTATTGGTGGATGGCATTATTCGTTCATTTTATTAAAAAAAAACATTTGCAAAGCAAAAATCTTAGTACAGTGCATTTTAAAATGTGTCCAAAATAGAAATTTTTGTGTGAAATGATTTTTTTAAACAAAACGAAAAAAGGCTCAGTTTTATATTTAGGTAATCAGAAATGGTAAAAAATGCAAAATGTAAAAAGAATAATGTTTGAACAATAATCAACTTCTTTGTGGAAATATATGCTTCTTACCTAATGGCAGGACAAAGAAGAAAGGGAACCAGCACAGGATGAAAACCCCAACCACGATTCCAAGGGTTTTAGCAGCTCTTTTCTGCTTGTTAAACTTTATCAAACGTTCCGACATATTCTGTTTTGAGTTTCCATTTAATGTTGCATTGCTACTATTCCGACCTGTATGAACTCGCAGCTTAATTTTCTTGGTGGATGAATTTCCAAAAGTAGTGACTGTCTCCCCTTTTGCTAAATGTTTGTTATGCTTATTCACCTTTTTGAAAATCCTATAGTAGACAAAAACAATGACAAACATCGGGATGTAAAACGATCCTGTCACAGAAAATATAACATACGCTGGTTCCTTATTCACATGGCAGCTAGTTTGAACTACTTTCCGGTCGTGCCTCCACCCAAACACAGGACCTATGGAAATCGCAAGGGACGCAACCCAAACAAGGGAAATAATCCAGCAAGCTCGTTTTTCAGACATAATAATTCCATGTTGTAAAGGTTTGGTAATTCCTATATAGCGGTCCACACTTATAACACACAGGGTAATTATAGATCCCGTACACCACAATACATCCACAGATGTCCAGAAAATACACATGATTGACCCGAAAGGCCAGTAGCCCAAAATATCTAACGTAGCCGAAAAAGGCAGCACTGATATTCCTAGAAGGAGATCTGCGCACGCTAAATTAACTATAAAATAATTCGTTGTATGTCGTAAATTTTCATTAATGGCCACTGCAATTAAAACTAAGAGATTTCCAAAAACTGTCATAAATAAAATACTGAAAAGCACAATTCCTGTTATCACAGCATAGGGTAAATCTAGTCCCTCCGGGCCATGGTACATGTCCAAAGTCCCGTTGCTAAAATTCATATTGGATGCTAGAGAGGAGGAACTTATTTGCTCCGTGGTTATACTTCTTGCTGATCTTGTGGTTATCTTAATTTCTTTATAAACCTCTGCACGATATACTCGTGATGTGATACGCTGGTCTAGACCTTCGTCAATATTCGATATTTTCTCAACTCATCTCAACGACTTCTCGCGCTTAATTTGGCAAACACTAGAAAAAATCCTTTTTGGTTAAGATGTAACTATGTTTAAAGCTGAATTCGTCTTCATTAGAAAAATCTGAAGAAGATTCATTAAGATGGATAAACTTGCTTCATTTCCCTGCCAGAACGAATTGGGTAATTTTATTCACATTTATGAGCTGTTGCTTTTGCATTTCTGTAGGCGATAAAAAATCTACTGCTTGCTCCACACAAACATATTATGAATGGATAAATTTTGCATATCATTCTATGTAACAGGGACTGATATTTCTGTCTGGATTGGCTGAATGTCCATGAATCATTGAATTGCAAGTATGCATGAACTTATTTATAATTAAAGCATATAAGCACATGAAGAGAGAGAGAGAGAGAGAGAGAGTTTTCACACTCAATTCTGAAATGTTTTATTAGAACAAACTGGCATAACTGAAATGTTTCTGACCTTCTCACTTTTGATGAATAAAAAGACAACTGAATGTTTTCACTTAGAAAAGACAAGAAAAGCTTACCTGAACTATACTGAGTTCCTGTATTGTCATGAAAGTTAATGATAATATACTTTCATCAATATTTAAAAAAAGGTTGCGTCGTTTTTCGTCTTTCTCAATACGACCTTTCTAGAACAGCGTCAGCTGGATAAATGCATCGACTTCAATTTATTGTCATACGCTGGTCATCTAAATAACGCCAATTAAGCTGTTTCTATCTGAAATCGAAAAACAGAGATACATGTTTGTATTTGAGATAGAAATATACTTTGAAAAAGTAGAAAAGAAAAGAAAAATAGAAATCGAAGACAAAGAGGCTATAACCAATCTTTATTAAATTCCATTTTGCCTTTCTCGGCCCCATTACTCTGTTTCTTCATAAATTCTTCACTTAAAGAGTCTTTATATGAATATGCAAGCAAGAAACTAGCATCTTTTAATATTGCATTTACATTGTTACTTTCTCTGTAATTGATCTTTTTTTTTAAAAGCATTCCTTTCCCATACCTTGTTAAGATGTGACTTTCTTTATTGTTACCTCGTATGTGATCAACAATAAAATGTATTGACGTAAATAGGTTCCTCCTTAATATGAGATTTTCCTTTCAGTTGAACGAAACTGAAGACTGAAAAACATTTTTTTTTTCAGCTTTGGACAACGATGTTATAACTATTTCATTTGAGTCGATTCCTAGAAAAGATTTTCATCTCCATGCCAAAACCTGAACTGCTGACTTAAATTTCATATTGATTTTATGGCCTGCCTAATAAGTCACAAAGGATTTTTATAATATTAAGACAGCAGAACATTAAATGGCAAGATTGGAAATATGCAGCTTACGTCATTTCTATGTTACAATCAAAACATTCAATGATAGGCAATGAAATGGGCGGGTACAATTCGACGCGGACGTGGGGAAAACATTGAATTGAAATTCTAGTTTGAAATTCATTTTCAATCCACCTCAGCTACGCTAGAAGGCACATTATAATATTACTGAGTGACCCAGAGAACAAATATTTTCATTTTTCGGTATAGTTTGAAAATAATATTATATTAATCAGAATTTTCTGTCCAGCGTTTTAAAGAAATATATGAAGGGACAATCTGTTTGGTATACGTGGTACATGTACATGTGTAATTTATGTATGACTTTTGTGTGCGTTTTTTTTTTGGGGGGGGGGGCTTAATGATCTTTGAAATAAATAAGAAAGTTGTTTCATTTTTCATTGAGACAAAACTAAAAAAGCTCTTTTCATCTTAAAAATCAATTGGTACAACTGATGATCTGACTCGACAATTTTTTACACCCCTCTTCTAGAATCCAATGGCAGTCTCCTAAAAAAATGTCTTCAATGACTTTTACAAGTGTCCTTAAGGATATCTTATAGGCTATAAACTCATAAATGTATGAATTTCAACTAACATGTACATGTATTTGGGAACTGAAATTATTTCTTTTGGATCATACATTCACACTTTGCTTTTGAAAACTGCTCAGGTGGATTGAAAATGAATTTCAAATTACAATTTCAATCCAATGTTTTCTCGACCGTCCGCGTCAAATTGTAGCCGCCCATTTCATTGTCTATCATTGAACGTTTTAATTGTAACAGATAGAAATGACGTAAGCTGTATATTTCCAATCTTGCCAGTTAATGTCGTTATTCTGGCAAAATCACAAAAAAAAAAGAAAAAGAAAACGAAAAGAAACAAGGAACAAATACATGTATACTTGTATTGTGGAACCATTATTAGATTTCGATTTGACTAAATTTTTATGAAATTCGTTGGTACCTCTTACGTGTTTTCTCGAATTAAAATTCTTCGCCAAATAAAAAAATACGATTTAGTCTTAATTCTTTTCTATAGTAATACATAAAATGATGTTCCCACGAACCAGTTAAATTCAAACAATTATACCCAAAGAATTTTCACGACTCAACCTTTCAAGAATTGCCAGATAGTCTGGCGAAAAAAATTATACTGCTTTTAAAAATTAATCGACATGCAGTTCTGTATATTTCATACTAATTGTTAGTCCATTATTTATATACTGAATTGACGACGGGTTTTCCGTTATTGCCCGATCATGACAAGGTGCACACGGCGGGTGTGACCGGTCCGCAGGGGATGCTCACTCCTCCATGACACCTGTCCCACACTCTGATGTTTCGGGGGTCCGTGTTTGCTTTGATCCTATTTTGTATTATGAACTTTATTATGGGCTTTAGAGATTAATTATTGTTCGTTATCACTATATGTTCTGTTATCTTCGTCTTTTTCATTCTATCTTAAAAAAAGAAGCTAGCCGTGGGTACAGAAGGGGCATTGTTTCATGAGTCCTTATTGATGCAGAAAATTTTCACAACTGACTTCATAGACATCTAAAGGAATGATTCTTAAAACTACGGGAGAAAGAGTAAGATCTTATATATATAAATCCAATCAATTTTGTGTCGTCCAGTACACTCGATCAACGCTTTTATATCCTCAAAATCATTAATTTGTCTACTCCTAATGAATGAATATCATAAAACGTTAACTTTGTAACAAGGCGCACAGGCAAAGATCGATAATTATGAACAATGTTCGCGGATGTTTTTCCGCTAAATTATGCAGTTTGTGCTTTGGTCCAGTGTGAAACATGAACATAAATATCTGACATTAAAGAAAGAAAAAGGAAACACATTCATTTTCAGACTATTTTTGACAACTGTTCAATATAAATGTACTGTTAATAAATGGAGACATGGATATGGTTGACTAACTAATTTTAATGGATACAGATAATTATTATTGATAACCAATTAAAGTCTTGAATGAATAAACTTACAAGCCTTTATGTTATGAGAACAATAAAAATTTTATCAACTGTTAAATATAAATGTACTGTTAATAAATGGAGACATGGATATGGTTGACTACCTAATTATATAAGTATACTAGGTCATAGAAGAATTCAATGCACTCGTATGAATCTAATGAAAAGAAGGTATAAAACGTAGAAACAGCCGTATTGTTTGGAAAGAAACATTTATTTACATGCAAATCTGGGTCAACAACTCAAATAACGCAATTCTGAGAGTTTAAATATTGCCGAATTTCAATATTGCAGAACACTGTGATGTTTATGCATAAGCAAGATTACGTTATGCAGTATTTTGAATATGTTTTTAACTTATTAAACATTTAGGCATTGCTATTTAGCAAGATATTAAATGAAATATAGTTTCACAATAATTACTTTTATAATGCATTTAATGGGTAATGATGCCACATTTCTAAGCAACCTGGTACCACAGTTTGCTTTGTAGCATAATCATAATGATATTCTGCCAAATTGAAACAGTAATAACCATAAAACGTGTTGTTATACCTTTAAAAATTTGTTCCTATACAAATCTATACGAAAAAAGTCCTAGCATTTCTAATGTTTTACGAGAAGGCATTAAAAAATCGATGTCTGACTGTTGAGTGAAATATTGGACCGCTCGATGAGATGTTGGACAGTTTACGTCACAGAGTGGGCGGAGTTTAATCTTATTTTCATTTGTTGGTGTTCAAAAGTAACAGACCTGCGGTGCATCAGACAGTTCTAAATATATGACCAAAAAAAAAAAATAAAAAATAAAAAGAAATATAAAACAAAACATGTATTTACTAGGTTCTCGGGCAAAATGCGCTTTGTCGACCCTCGAACCAAACTATCTGCCTTCAGCCTAACGACCTTATGCAAACAGTTTTGTTATTGGGTCCGACAAAACGCATGTTGCCCTCGAGCAGTCAATAAATATATGTTTCTTGAAACTGTGGTAAGAATGAACTCGTGCATTTATCTAAGTCTGTATATCAATAGAACCAAAATTGAATGCATTCATATATTGGTTGATAACAAAATTTATGAACCTACACCATTCACACAACTGGAAGGTCAATAAAAAGTTTGCCATCCAGTTGAACAATAAAAATAAATGAGTGCTTGTTAATTTTGTGTGTAAAAGAACTCTTTCCCATTTCAATTATAATTTTTAAAAAAATATACAGCTAGATACGTTTAATGGGTAGGAAGAAAAGTTACAGTAAACGCTTAATAACATAAAATAAAATGTTTCCTACCTCCTCGTCTTTGATAAATGAAGATAAACTGTGTGTTTACACTAAGAAAAGTCAACAAAGTCTTACATATACCTGAACAAATACAGCAATACCTGCGTTGTCATGAGATTTGTGTGCAATAGATTTTGATCAATATGAAAAAAAATGTGCTGTGATTTACCTTTCGAATCCATCTTGTTTAAAACCGCGTCAGCTGGATAAACGCATCAATTCATTGTCATATGCTGGTCAGTCTAAATAACCTCAATTAAGCCATGTCTATCTGAAATCGAAATTAAATGATATAATATTATAGAAAAGGCAAAACTTTTCAGCGGCTAAAATATAATTTGAGATATTAAAAAAATACTTTGCATCCATAGATACTGCAAAAATAATTTATGAAATAATTTTTTCATTACTTTTATCAGATTATTTTTAGATTACACATGTATTCTTTGCATATAATGAAATATATGGAGATAAGGAGCATTATTCGAGATCAACAGTCCAAAAACAATACAAAATAGGAACAGAGCAAACAAGGACCTAAAAATCATAAGATGTGGGATCAGGTGCCATAGAGGAGTGAGCATCTTCTGCCGACTGTCCCCACCCGCCATGTGCTCCTTGTCATTGTTCGGGGAAAGAAAAAGGAAAAAGTTTGTCAATTCAGTGTATAAATAATAGACTAACAATTAGTATGAAAAACGCAAGTCAGCATTTGACGACTCACATGTAAAATGTATTTGTTGACATGGTCATCGTATCGACAATAGAGAGTACGAAATGAAGACTTTGAATGAGATTGTTAATAACTAACCTCATTTTAGAAATTGTTCATATGTAGAGCATGCTCTTGAATATCGAAGCAACTGAGAAATATAAACGCCGTATGTTTGTGGTGAAAGTATATTGCAGATAAGTAAGGAAATTTGACGATTGTAGAATTCAAGTCATCACGTTTATCATAGAAAATGGTTGTTAGATTACCATAAAAGTCTTTTTCAAGTTGAATATCCAAATTTGAAACAGATGAGTCAGACTCTGTTCTATCTTTTATCTCAAACTTATCAGGATATATTGTTTCGACAAAAGAATGGAAATCATCATTGTAAATGACATTACGTTGTCAATATATCTAAAAGTCGAGTTTTCTTCTTTTCGCGCATACGATTTTGCATAAATTTAGCTTCATATGAATTCAAAAATAGGTCTGCTAATACAAAAGGTATTTCAAATTAAACGCAGTTTATTTTTAGCGATATATGATTTTGGCGATCTCAGAACCCTCGCTAATAATGCCGAAATTAAATCCTCGCTAAAATGCTGCTTATACGTTTTCTAAATATCGAAATGAAAGCCAAACCATGTATTTTTATTTTGGCGTATAAGATTTTGGGACAATTTCTGCTGCATATGAATACAAAAATAGGTCTGTTAATAAAGGGGCGCAATTGGTACCCATAGGAATACAATAGATTATTTGAAGACCTGGTCTCCAAACACAACATAGATATTTTCAATCAGAAACGCAAGCTTTTTTATATAAAACCACATAGATATTGTCCAGCATAACCTCGAGCATCTTTATGATGTCAACTTCAGAGTACTTGTGTGTACGATCAGACTGTTTATTAACAAAAAAAATTTTGCAAATGACTTTCATTTTTATTTAAAAATGATATCAAAAACCTGGATTTTAATTTATTTTGGGACATGGTTGTCTATAAAGTTGAAAAGTTGTAAGTTGTTGAGCTGTTGATTTTGGTAAAATCTTGTGATTTCAAATTTTCCAAAAGTTCCTTGGATGTTTTAAGTATACACATTTAACTTACATCCCTTTTTGAAATAGTGTTTCAGAGTACTCTTGAAGTTTTTCCTTCACTTCTATTTATATCATAGTGAGGAATAAAGATAGAGGCTTGGTTAAGCATTCACTGGAACCCGGTATCTTTGTTTGTAAGGACTTTTATGAGTTTCGGAATCCAATATATATATGGTAGTTCAACTTCAATTTAGTTCTTTGGGATCTTAAAGATATTCATCACTGACAAATGATTCTAAAAATTTCTTCTTTAGAAAGGAATATATGAGTATAAGTCGGATTTTCGTTTGTAGAAGTTCTTTTAAGATACAATGTATATTATAAACCTAATAAACGAAGACAATGTTGTTACCTGCTTTGTCAGAAGGGACCAGTACAAACTGATCATGTAATCTTTTATTTTTTTTTTTCAATTCTGGATTGTTGAGTACAGAAGGAAAGATGGTTTTCATATTGTTCCTTAATCTTTTAATACAATTATAATATATATCTGAATCCATTCTCATAAACTCTCAACGTCTCCCTTTTCATATTTACATCCAGTGTAATTTTCTTTATGAAATCTATTAGAAATCCACGACATTTAAATCTCTATATAACACACGCGAAACCTTGTCACCGCGCGTTAGAATACACATGCAGTAAGAACTGTAAGCATTTTCAATACTCTAAGAACACCAAAATGTACAATGTTTTGATTCAATTTAATAAAATCTGTAATCCTGTTAAATTAATGTAAAAATACAAAAAATGTGCATTTGAAATTAATAAGCCACTTCTTTTCCTAGCAATGTTCTTTGCGTTATTTAACTTTGCAACGTCACAAACGGCTATTACGTCTATTAAGCACGTCAGTTTTAAAGAACGCTAAATTCACATTAAAGATTTACAAAATAAACAATTATGAAGAATGAAAATTAGAGAATGTAATGTAAATATGAATATTGAATTCGTATTTTGGATGTCTTTGGTCCTTTAACACACCTGGCCATGCAAACAAATTATCATACCGCACTGTAAAGCGCTGTACTCAATATGTTGGCAGGTGTGTTATAATACCGAAGACATCCAAAAAATATGAATTCAATGCTTAAATATCTAGGTCATCGCCTGGCGTAGTCTTCTGAAGAATCCGTAATATTTATGAAATTCTAAAGCCAGCTGAACGATCGGGTTCCCTATATTAAGGAACTTTTTATGATATTGATCTAAGGTCCTCATTATTAACTATATTAACATCACCTATAATAACGTGTCCAGCAGGAAGAAGGATAGGTAGATAACGAACAGTATTCAATATCTAAGTCTATTAAACAATACAAAATAGGAGCAGAGCAAACACAGACCTCCGAAACATCAGAGGTTGGATCACGTGCCATGCAGGAGTGATCATCCCATGCTGACCGGTCATATCGCCGTGTGCTCCTTATCATGATCGGGAAATAACGGAAAAATCTGTCGTCAATTCAGTATATAAATAATGGATTAACAATTAGTATGAAAAACGTTAGTCAGCATTTGACTCAATTATAAATTGTATTTGCTGACAAGGTCATTGTATCGACCAGAGAACGTACAAAATGATGACTTTAAACAATACCGCTGATATTCTTTTTCCATCAACTTGCTTGTCAATAATTTATCTCTTTTTAGAAATTGTTCATACGTATAGCATGTTCTTGCATATCGAATCAACTGAGATATATATATACTCCGTATGCAGGTGATGAAGGAATATTGCTGCATAAGTATGGGAAGTTGACGATAGAAACGTTAAAGTTTATCATAGAGCTTGGTTGTTAAATTACTATTAACGTCTTTTTCAAGTAAAATATCCAAGTATGAAAAAGAATTGTTAGACTCTGTGGTAACTTTTATTGAAGCTCACCAGGATATATTGTATCGACGTAGGAAAGGAAATTACCATTGTTAATTGTCAATACCTCGTCGATATATGTAAATGTCAAGTTGAGGGCCACAGCAAGTGTTTTTTTTTCTTTTCACGCATAATATTTTGCACAAATTCTGCTTCATATGAATATAAAAAGTTGTCTGCTAATAACGGAGTGCAATTGGTACCCATGGAAATTTCAATAGATTGTGTAATACATTGTCTCCAAAAACCACATAGATATTGTCAATCAGAAACTCAAGCATCCCTTTGATGTCAACTTCAGAGTACTTGTGTGTGCACTCAGAATGTGTTTAGAGAAAATAATTTTGCAAATGACCAATGACCAGGTAGGTAAATTTACGAGTTCCATTTTTATTGAAAAAGCAGCTGTCAATCATATCAAAAAGCCTGGGCTTTAATTTATCGTGGAGAATGGTTGTGTATAAAGTTGAAAAATCGTAAGTTTTTAAGCTAAACTATAGTTATAGGACTATAGTTATAGGGTGAAGAAGAACATGAACACGTTGGAGGAATATGTTTCAGATATTTAATAGCTAGGCTCTGTAAAGTTTTCTTGCAAGTAAAAGGTTTGAAAGAAAGAGTCGATGTAAATTTAAAGGAAATAGAAGGTGTAGTCTATAACTTGAAATATGGTGGAATAAAAATTGGACCCTCTTTGATTAAGGATATAACTAATATTTAGCACTTGTACGTCAATTTCTTTGTAAGCATATTGAAGTTTAAGGAATAGACAGTCTGTTGTAGCTGTATTTTCATAAAGTGAATTGAAATCTACGGCATTCAAACCACCATAACACGGAAAGGGGGTCAAGAGGTTAAAGTACGCGTTTCTTAAGTCAAAATCGTCAAACACCAAACGAGGAAAAGCAATGCCATAGAGAAAAAAAAATCAAGCTCAGATTGACCAGACGTTATCTTAAAATCGCTAAATTTACATATTTAGTCAACAAACTAGGTCTTGCAGCTGATGATAAGCAAATGTTACGCTTATTGTAATTAAACATCAAGAATATTTAGCATTCACTTTTCCATACTTTGTAAATATGTCACTTTCTTTATCATTGCCGCATGTATTTCTTATCAAACTTAATCTAATCATTTCAGCAGATGCCCCTGGGAATCTAATACCGTCAATGGGTTTTGTGTGTTTACTGCTCTCTTCGCATGTCTACATTGTCTGTTCACAGATTTGCAAAATACGTAGATTTTTTTATATCGACAAATCTATTCTTTCTCTTCACCTTTTACATTCTATCTTGAATAATAATATGATGGGACGTACGTGGCATGGCGTTATGAGCGTTACTTGATGGACACCAATTTTACAGCTCCTAACTTTTATAAACATCTAAAAAAACTAGAGGTACTGTGAGCAATGAGCTCACTAAATGATACCCCCCGCCTCCCATATGAATATATTGGCAGTATCCACCTTTTGCTCTGGAAAATCCAAAATATATGTCAGATCAAAAAGTAAAATAGGAGGTGCACAATGGCAATATGTAATAAAGATTCTGTGAAAGTTTCATTAAATTTCCTTCAGTGGT